GACAATCTGTCTGCATTCGCTTACGCCGTTACAGGTTTTTGTTTGTTACAATTTTCACTTTATGATTTGCTAAATTTTTTAGGAGAAAGAAGAAAAATCAAGAAATTGGATGCATAAATATGTGAGGAGAATAGGGTTAGTGTGTGGAAGAGAAAATATGATAAAATGTATTTGATAAAATGTAATTAAAAGGTTGTTTTGGTTTTTGTTTGGTTTTGATTTTTTAATTGATTTAAAAAAAACATGAAAGATAAATTTCAAGCCGGGCAGCGGTGGCGCACACCTTTAATCCCAGTACTCGGGAGGCAGAGGCAGGCGGATCTCTGTGAGTTCGAAGCCAGCCTGGTCTACAAGAGCTAGTTCAGGACAGGAACCAAAAAGCTACGGAGAAACCCCGTCTCGAAAAATCCAAAAAAAAAGAAAAAAAAAAGAAAAAGAAAAAGAAAGATAAATTTCACTCTCCAATCAATGCACACAATCTCGTCTTTTTCGCCAGTGCAGTCTTGGATGGATACACTGTCAGGGAGAAAGAGTAACATTTTAATTAGACGGTGTAGCTATTGCTGTGTGCAACTGAAAGCAATGAGCAAAGGACCTACATTTTCATTAAGGTGATTCCAATATTCTTCCCTTTTCTAGAAAAAAATGGGTGAACATAATGAATACATTTTAGGTTCCATTTAAATAGGGGAACACAGTTTATGAAAAGGAAAATGAGGTTCAGATTGTGCCTAAAGTAATGGACCTTGCATTCTATGTGAAAACACCATTTCATTGAGAACTGGACAACAGTGAGAGAAATCCATAGTGAGAATAATGTCATCCATAATACCTTTTCAACAACAAGGTCAGGGAAGCCTGTGAACACATAAATCACTCTAGCTGAAGGCTCTTTGTATTGATTTTTGACAATGATACAAAAATGTTATTGCGTTAAAAATACCTTGGAACCTGATAGATGGTACCCAATTATTCAAAATAGTTACGATAAACCTGTGAAGTATACATACTTTTGTTCAGTTTTCTATAATCCAAAACTTTATTCATTATAAAGTTTCTAAAATTATGATGATCTTTTGGTCACCCAAAAATACAGTCAAAAAATAAAAATATTCATGTCAACAAAATCCTTTCTGTTGTGTTCTTCAACTTACCTGAAAATAGCATAAATAGCCCTAAATTGGGATGTTATCACTTAATAACATTGTTATCTTTGTGCATTTACATTTTTGCATAAAGTGCCTTTGGGTTCTTAACTTAGAAGGGCTTCAGTCAACCATACAGAATGTGGACTCTGGTTAGGAATAGGGTTGGTATTGGCTTCAGGATTTAGAGCACTTTAAAAAAAAAAAAAGTTTTTTCTCATTTTACATACCAATCCCAGTTCCCACTCCCTCTCCTCCTCCCATCACCTCCACCTCTTCCCCACACCCATCCACAGCCCAGCCCATGGGGGAGTCAACAATGTCTAACACATTGCTGTGAGGCAGGACCAAGGCCCTCCCCACTATATCTAGTATGAGCAATGTATCCCTCCAAAGAGAATGTGGAAAAAGTCAGTACAAGCGGTAGGGATAAATCCTGGTCTCACTGTCAGTGGCCCCACAGTCTGCCCCAGACGTACAACTGTGAGGGACTAGTTTGGTCCCCTAATGGTTCCTTCGCTGTCAGGCTGGAGTTGGTGGCTTCCCTTAGCTCAGGTCAGCTCTTTCAGTGGGAGCCCCCCTCATCCCACTATGATAACGGACTTTGGGAGCTCAGCCCGGTGCTCCGCTGTGGATCTCTTTAAAAGCAAGAACACGCCTAGCTAATTCTTATGATGTTTCTCCCGTGTGTCCCCGGGATCCACTGAAGGCGTGGAGGAGAGCAGGCGCGCGTGGGGCTTCGCGGTGCGACCGAGGCCCCGCCCCCTAGCTCGTCAGCGCTGCGACTCCGGGAGAACGCGCCAGTGCAGTGCGCACGCGCGTGTTCGGGCGCGCTCTGAAGTCGCGGCTGTGTCGGTTGAAACAGTCGCCAGGTTTCCGGATGTCCTGTTGGTCAGCGAATGCTGGTCTCGCGGCTGGTAGGGCCCTGGGTGATGTAACCGGGTTGTTTAGCTTCACCTTTGGGATAGTGTGCAGAAAATGCGTTGTGTGTCGCTGGCAGCGTTAGCCCGCTGAGCACAGCATGGGGGCGGGGCTCCAGGTACCCGCCCAGGGGCTGACTGGTTTGGGAGGTGCGTCCCCACGTATGTTAGTGATGTTGGTGGGTGCCTCTGACAAAGGTTTCAGAAGAAAGATTCTCTAGGTTACTTACGAGTTCGAGGAGAAGCTTTTGGTACAAGGTGCATGCACATTTTAGAATTTGCCAAGGGTATTACATAACAGAAACCAAACTAGCTCCGTCCATTGTCTGTATATTTTAAAATACCGTACCGTGGTGAAGTTAGTGAGACTTATCACAGATTTTTGTTGTTGTTTTGAGTGAGTGTTTATGTATCTTTTGCTGTCCTGAAATCGTCTATGCTGACCATGCTCGCCTTGAACTCACAGAGATCCACCTTCTTTTGACTCTTTTTTTTTTAATATTTTTAATTATTTATTATGTATACAATTTCTGTCTACATGAATGCCTACAGGCCAGAAGAGGGCACCAGACCTCATTACAGATGGTTGTGAGCCACCATATGGTTGCTGGAAATTGAACTCAGGACCTTTGGAAGAGAAGACAGTGCTCTTAACCGCTGAGCCATCTCACCAGCCCCTTCTTTTGAGTCTTAATGCTCGAATTAAAGGCGTGAACCATTGCGCCGGGCTACAGACCTTAAAACTGGGTTTTAGGAGTACTTTTAATACAAAAGCTAAGTGAAGAGTTGTTAGTTCTCTTTCAGCCCCTTAGACATGTGCTATGTGTTTATAATAGCTGTAAACTTGTAAAGTTGTATGTTCTTCTATTACCTCCACCCAAACACTGAAATTAACGTATTAAAGAAAGCAAAACCAAAATTATGTCAAAGACACTTAAGGAAAATTATGGACTATACTTTGGATAAAATGTTAATCTGTGTCCTCAGCAGCTATTATCGGCTTGAATTTTCTATTGCTGTTTGAATGTTATTTGGACATCATTATAAAGCAGGATTTTTGCCACTTCAACTAATAAAGGAATTCTAAGGGATTGCGGAAGTTCAGCCACTGAGTAAATTGCAGAAACTCGGTTTTAGATCTGTGTAGCAGGGAAGTGAATATGGCAAGATGTATATCCATGTAAGTTAACTCAGATTGCATTTTCCTCCTAAAATCTATGCACATACTTTATATTTAGTATCTTTATGAGAGCACTTAAAGTAGGTTTTTATTTTTGCCACTACAACTGAGTTTGATATTTCAATGCTTATTCATGATTTTCCAACTTTCACTTAGCAAACAATTATTGTTTGTGATATACTAGAATATGTTTCTGAGGTACAAAGATAATCTAGTCACCATACTAAAGGTGATATTAATTACCTAAAAGTGATTTTAATAAGAAACAGTAGCACTTTAATATATGAACATTAGAGAATTTTTGTTTTGATGGTTAGATTATGAGAGATGAGCTGGACTTTCAAGTTTTTCAGACTTGAGATAAAAATCAAGAGTTAAAGGTCTTGGAGGTCAATTAGACTACAGAGTCAGTGAGTTCAGGAAGCGTAACTGTCTGTAACTCCCGTATGTTCTGGGCAAGATGAGAGGAGATTCACATTTAAGCCCTGAGTTCAAGTCTGGATATGTTCATGAGGACTTTGGTATGGGACCGTCTTGGCCTGCCTCTAACTGTCGTCTTGGGCTTTGCTCCTCTGTCCCTTTCCAAAGAGGAGTAGAAGGTGGGTTTGGTTTTGTTTCTTTCTATTCTCTTTTCCAGCCACACTGGGTTTTCACCAAATGCACAGGCTTGTTTCCCTATTCCTCATATTTGTTCTGCATGACTGATCCCCGCGCTTAGCAGCTCCTGCCTGCCCTGTATTTTTCTAAAGCCATTTCTTGGCCCCCAAAATCTGTTAAAAAGCGCTCCATAAATTTTCTCTCAGGTACTAGGCAGTGTCTGCCTTTTGCTTTAGATGAAGCACGTCTCGTTGAAGAGTATCTTTCCTTTACTCTATGGTAGTTTTATTATCCTGAACCTCCTTTAATGGGTCAAGGAAAGTTTTGAAATTTTGCAGGTTGTCGAACTGTTTGCTGTTATTATTTCTTCTGAATTGTGCATTATTTACATAGACTATGTGTAATCTATGATAACTTTTTTGTGTGTTTTGTTTTACTTTTTTTAAAAAAAAGATACTATCTGCCTGTATAGCTCTGGTGTCTTGGAACATGCCTGGGATCTGCCTCCTTTGCCTGGGATTAAAGGTGTGTACCACCACAACTGGTTTATGGAGACTAGAAAGGAATAAGGTTCTCATCGTTTCTGTCTTATCAGTTTCTGTTATTATGTTAAGTTCTGGAATGTAATGTGGAAGAGTATTGTTGAGCATCGACTTTTAAACTTTTTCCAATAAATGAAACAGATACCCATGTGGATGTTGACAGAGTCCATGGTGTGTGTGAGAGAGATTTTCTTATGCGTGAGAGTCAGAAGGAATTATGAAACACTTTGTCTGTACTTTTGACTAGATAACTATTTTTTAAGCTGCCAGGCTGGAGCAGAGATAGACTGTGCTTGTTTCTTAGGTGTTGACTGGCATGTCCTAGTTGATGAGGTTTTCATTCCACATTTGGGATTTCCTTCCTTTTTCAATTGCCATGGGATCCTAAAAGCAAATTTTCTTTGATTTTGTAAGATATACTGTTAAATGAAACAAAGCTTGGAGAAACTGATTAACTTCACTCTTTTTGCATCTTAAGTAAGGATTAAGAAATCAAGTCATGAACCATATGTATTTTTAGGTCCTCAGTTTTTTCTCAGGTGACTTAATATTTACTTGAACTGGGTATATTGACTTAGCGTTTAACTTGTCCTCTAGAAACCGATAACGTTTCAGATGTGTGTTTCACAAGGACATACACATATGGGTGACTTTAATAGATAATGCTCTCCTCACAGTGGAGACAATATCTGTATAAAGCAAAGCAGCTGTTCCTTTGCTAACAGCTTGTTGCAGTGTCTCCCTAAGCCTCCTTTCATTTCATTAATAGGTGAGATTCCTATTGAAAGAACCTTGAAGTTGGCACAAGATGCCCTAAGACGAAGATTTCAACACAAAGGAGGTTTATTTGCCCTAGAGGGATAAAGGTCAGGTAATAAGAGACAAAGATAGGGGATAGAGGATTAGGGAGAAGAGAAAAGGGGGACAAGTGAGAGAGGGAAGGAATATTTGATCTGAGGAGCAAAAGACTTCCTCTGAGTAGAGAGGTGATAGACTGTAGGCAAATGGCAGTTTACACAGGGAAGAGGAGAAACCCCGTGTTAGGATGCTGTTGGTTTGTTTTGATTGGGCATGTTAATTAGGATAGCCAAATGAGGGGCTTCTGATTGCTGGACTTAAGTGCTTTAATAGCTGGATGTTGGTAGTCAGCCTCAAGAGGAGGAAGTGGTCAAATAATGGAATGGACCTTGGTGGCTAGCTTTAGGATTGTAATCTAATGGTTTAGCCAGGCAGAGGAATGGGAGAGAAGGGTAAAAGGTAAAACCCACAGGTGACATATTTGCCATGCTTGGGCTTGCTAGACCCCTTCACCTTTCAACTCATAATCCAGGCTGTGGCAGTAGCTAACTGCACTATCTGTTTGTAGTTTAATGGTCGTGAACTAATCACCTTAGTAACTTTGTTAAAAGTTTGGCTTCAATATGTAACTTTTTACATAGGTGTCTTCATGTAGGGAGAATTCTCTATTATTGCTCAAGTAATCCTGACAAGCTGGGAGGACTCCTTTGGACATTTAGATGCTACCAACCCATCTCATGTAAAGCCTTTAATTGGAGGCTGGAGAGATGGCTCAGAGGTTAAGAGCACTGACTGCTCTTCTAGAGGTCCTGAGTTTAATTCCTAACAACCACATGGTGGCTCATAACCATCTGTAATGAGATCTGGAGCCCTCTTCTGGCCTGCAGGCATTCATGCAGACAGAACACTGTATATATAAATCTTAAAAAATGATAACTATAAAGCTTGTGATTGGCTTAGACGGGAGCCAGACTGTGAACTTCAGCTGTTACAACCACCAGTACAATAGACACTGCGGTTAGCACTGGGCATGCAGTGGTGAGTCAGACTTAATGATTGCTTCCTGGAGTTTATGTCATATAGGAGAGGAGCAATGAAATAAATAATTATAAGAAATAGTATAGGATATTGCTGGGAGCTGACCTTGTTGGTTTACTGGTTCCAGAGAGGATGCAAGGAGTAGGTGAAGGAAAGTTGAGCCAGGCCACGGATATTGGGGAAATCTCACAGCCTTACTAATTGGCAGTCAGAGTACATCCTTATTTGTACAAAATTGAGTACTGTGATCAGGGATAACTTCATGTTGTTCCAAAACAGATCCCATCATTTCTGTCCCTGGGCACATGTTTAACTTCCTTTTACATATCTACGTTTAGTTATCATTACTAAACCATGACAGAGCATGTTATCGGTTTTCTTTATTCTCCCGTCTCTCCCCATAGTCCTCCTGTTTCGTTCTCACCTTCCCCAAGAGATTGGGGATTGTGGAAGGGACTAGGGGACACAAGGATCTCCCTGGGAGATTTTATGGGTAGAGTTGGGGATGGATTGTGGCATGGTTATCATTTAGTTAATGTCTAATATCCATATACCATATTTATCTTTGGACAGAATTATCTTTTACAGTCATTTTCCCGCATCAATCACAGCCCAACTTCTAGGCAGATCTTGTAGCTTCAAGGACACTAGACAGAAAGAAAATCTATAAACTAGCCCAGGTAGATTGCTATATCCAAAGCACTGTATTATTGTTGTCAATAGGCCCAAGAAAAATCCTCAGGCCAGTGCTGATGCTATAATTATTCAATTTTTAGCACAATAAAAGGATTGCATTTCATATCCTTAGAGGATTCATTTGTATCTTTAATTCTGTCATTCTTCTGCTGTGTGGTCATATGACATCATAGTGGCTGTGTTGGAGTTAACTCTAAGAAAGGGAGGTCCTGACACCTCATTCTTTTATCATCTTTCTACACCATTTTTTTTGCCCACCAGGATAAGCCCCTGTGTAGGGCAGCGGTAACTTCAGCTAATCTAACTTTGTCGATGTATATGTCGTGTAATCTCCTGAGTGTATAATAGGAAGAAACTTGCACCGTGTTCTGATTGTATTGTTCCCGAGTAAGTCCAGGAGATGTTTCGAGAATATCTCAGAGCCTCATAAAGAGAATCTGGCTGCTTTCTGTGGGACACAGCCTCCAGGGCATAAGGAGACCTTCAGGTGGGTGAGTGGGAGGAGTGCTGTGCTCAGGACTTCCCTGGGGAAGCTAAGCAGCAGTACTTTTGGGAGGAGGCATTAATGATTCATAAGAAATTTCCCATCAATCCAGTTTTCCCAGGTTGTATAAATATTAAAAATCCCCCAAGCATGCAACCTGTGGAAAGCAAAACCAAAAATGGCATGGGTTTGCGGATCTTTGTCACACGGCTGTGCTGGCTACTGTTTCTCTGTGACCATGAGAAGTAAACCGCAGAGCTCGACAAAACCACGCAGGGGTTTATTAGGGAAGGGCTGGGATAAGGGGAGGGCAGTGTGGTCCACCAGCAGTCACGGAGAATACAGGCAGTCCTAGTTGGTGCGCAGTTCTGGAGGGGGCTCCAGGGACTGTGACGTCTCCCCTGAGGCAGCGGTTCCCGGTGTGCTTCTTGCTGCTGTGCAGCAGTGTGTACCTACTGTGCCGTCACTGCCGTGCCCCTGGCAGGAGCATTGTCAGCCCGAGCAGGACGGGCCAGTAAATGCAGGAACCCTAACACTGGCTTAATCACTTTGCTGTTCCCACCAGGTATGGCTGTGCCAGGATATGAGTATGGTCTTGATAAAAGACAAGTTTGTGAACTGTAAAGACATATTTAAATAAATTTTCTGAGGAAATCTAATGTATCTGTGCTATTTATCAAGTAAGAAGATTGATAGAAAATTGCAATGTGTCTCTCTTTTGGGATTTCTAGTAGTTAGGTTTGGTAAATGACTGTTAAGTAGACTGTAAAGTTCAGGCAGGGCACAGAGCAAGTAAATAGAAGGCACAGTTGTGAACTTAGATCTCAGAGAAGCCATTCATTAATTAAGAAAACAAATACAAATGAGTATAGTCTAACAGGAAAAAACACTGGTATTTCAGACCATCTAAGTCTATTTCTTCAAGCCATTAAGTTTTATTAAATAGACATACCATGCCCATGGGAAAATGAACAAGTTGCATCATATGGATTTTACAAAGGAAACAGAAACTTGTAACTAGTATCTACTCCAGAAAAGATGTTATAAGGATAGCTCTTCTCTACTCCTGCGCTCCCAGTGATAACGATGCTCTTCTAGTCCGCAGATTGTTTTCCTTTGCATTTCACAGCATTGCACCTCTCCCAGGTGCAGCTCAGCCACACATAGGTGGTAGCCCTTTCTGGATTGAGGGACTGCTCACCATAGCGAATAGAATAGAGCGCACTGGAAGTGGGCCTCAGGCCCAGTGCACAGAAGACTTCCACCTGGTACATAGTAAAGGTGGAAAGAGACGGAAGCCCAGGAATTTTATAGCTCTCTTATGAATTTGTTGCTAAAATTGGATCAGTAAAGTTAATAATATAATGCAACAGATAAAAGCCTGGTCATTTTAGTTTATGGAAGACAAGAATTAAAAGACAATGAAATAAAATTAAATTATAATGACCTGATAGCTAAAAACAAAAGGGGAGTCCTAAAATACAGAGTGCTCTGTCGATGTCCTGGATCAGTTCTGAGGTCTGACTGCTGGGTACTGATAGCCCTGTCTCGGTTGCTGTCTCCACTCCAGATTTAGTTTCAGTTCTGTTTCTCCTACTCTTGTGTCACCTGCTGCCTCATCACAGGACTCACTCACTGCTCGTTTACAGAATTGGAGGCTGTGATTCTGGAAGTCTCACTAAATGCAACTGTCTAAGAAGTGTTTTTAGCGCTTTTTTCATTACAGCCATCTGTGGCTGTCCTGTAACTGTTAGTGAAGGAGGCTCTTAAGGAAGGTTGTGGTCTGACTTGCGTATTCAGTAACATTAAACAAGTGTAGGTTAACCAGACTCTGCTTTGTAGATGTGCCTGCCAAACATGCTGTGAACATGGACTTGTGTGTTTAGTGATGGATGAACTCTAGTTTTCCCATGTTGGGCGCCACTGCAGTGTCTGGATTTGGAGTCATGTCAGTAGCAAGCAGAGGTAATAAAAACGGACGGCGGTGTTTTGACAGCATTTGAAGATTTTCTACTCACTGTTTATGTAAGTGCACACCTTTACCCTCTTGACATGTTTGATTTTAATGGGCAAAGTTATTGGATAGAATACTGTTTCTATAAGTCTGGGTAAACTGCTTAGTTGAACTGGGTTTTTAATTTACATGTGAAATTTGAAATGTTCTCATCAAATAGAATTCCTGATAATAGATGGATTAGGAAGAAACAAAAATGTTAGCAGTGCACATGAGCCATAAAAATGACACATTGAGGCCTGAATACCCTCTTCTCCCCTTCAGAATCATTTACTACCCCAATAAAATAGCAAAATAATAATAATAAATATAAATAAAAAATTTCCCTAAGCAGTAGATAACACAAAACTCCTCTGTGCTTGAGTGTGACATTGTGTTGTTAGTCTCTTCCTCTCTGCTGTGTCTGAGCTTGGTTAATGAAGTTACCATAACCGGCAAAGTGGGTGTTTCTGTCTGTGGCCCTTCTGGTCTCTAATTAGGTTAAGGAACCTCAGACAGAGTCCTCTGCTGCTCCCTGAATGCTCGCAGTTTGAGGTCCAAAGCAGAATATGTGAGAGCAGCGTTTTCTGGGTTCTTAAACAGGTGAACATTTTAAATTAAAAAATATTAAACTGGGGGGGCTGGAGAGATGGCTCAGCAGTTAAGAGCACTAACTGCTCTTCCAGAGGTCTTGAGTTCAATTCCCAGCAACCACATGGTGGCTCACAACCATCTGTAATTCTGTAATGAAATCTGGTGCCCTCTTCTGGCTTGGAGGGATACACACAGATACAGCACTGAATACATAATAAATAAATAAATAAACAAATAAATAAATAAATAAATAAATAAATAAATAAATAAAATATTTTAAAAACATGTTTAAAAATATTAAACTGGGTTTCTGCCTTTAGAATGACTCCATGTGGAGATGAGACTCTTTTAAAGTGTGATCGTGTATCTATCTCTCAGTGACAGAGAAATGCGTTGTGGGCGATTCGGGCTCTATGTGAACCTTGCAGTGTGTGCTCAACAAACTGAGTGTTCAGCCATGAGACCACCATCCTGGAAGTAGTCCCTAGCTTGACATGCCCTTTGCACACTTATTAATGATGCTTATAAAACTAGACATCCAGATCTCGGCACTGATTGCAGGGATTTCTGTGTGCAGGTACTTTTGATAGAAACTTAAGTTCATTTTAAGTTAACCAATTGGCTCTTTTAGGGAAAATGGATTTTTCTCACTTTATTCTTTGTGACTATAAACCATTTCTTTCTTCCTTTTCACTTCCTTCCATACCACAGTTATAAACTACTTCTGTGATAAAGACTTTGATGAGGAACAGTTGAGCCTAGGTTTTAGTATCCCAAAGGTCTTATATGGCTGAGGTTGTTTTTTTTTTTTAAATATTTATTTATTATGTATACAACGTTCTGTCTGTATGCCTACAGGCCAGAAGAGGGCGCCAGACCTCATTACAGATGGTTGTGAGCCACCATGTGGTTGCTGGGGATTGAACTCAGGACCTTTGGAAGAGCAGGCAATGCTCTTAACCACTGAGCCATCTCTCCAGCCCCTGAGGTGTTTTTTTGTGATAACAAAACAATGAATCAGCTTGACAGCCATCCAATGTGTAGTTAAAGTGATTGCTATTTGGGAAAACTCTGGGTGTAGTTCTGTGCAGGAGGAAATATTGAGTATTAACTTTATTTTCTATCTCTTAGAACTTTTTAAATTATGTATACGTATGTGTCCAAGTGGAGGTGGGGGTGTCAGCCCCTGCAGCTGGCATCGCAGGCAATTGTGAGCAACATCGTAGAGAATTCCAGCTTTGCCAAATGTATAGTTAGTGCTGTCTGGAAGCCTGTGGTCATGTTGGATGTAGCCTGAATATAATAATATATAATGCTGTCTGAAAGCCTGTGGTCATGTTGGATATAGTCTGAATATAAATTTGCCTTTTGGTTTCTGTTTTCAGGGTTTTCATAAGTCTGTAAGAGGATTTTCCACAGAAGCAATGTCTTTGGTAAGGTGATACTTAATTTCATTTGGGATACATAGATTTTAAATTTAACTTTCTTCATACTTGACATTTACTGTAGTGTCAATACAGTGGAAAACTGATACCTTCACTTTTTTATATGATGATATTGTATTATAGTTCTATATTTACCTCGTATTTGATTGTTTTGTTGCCTGCATTATCTATAAATATCTCTGCCTAAGCACTTCATAAATACTTTATGAAGACATTACAGTTTTTATTAGTTTAAACCACAGGCAAATTCTTTTCTTTTGCTTTCTGTCAGTTTGTATCACATTAGATTTTTATGTGCTAAATTATGACGTAACAGATTGTATCAATGAAAATCTTTATATTTGTGATACATTTTTTAAGCCAAATTTTCATTGTTTTATAAAAGTTTGACGTTTAAAGCAGCATTGGAAAGGTTCCCATATGCACAGCTGAGTGAACCTGGAAAGAATGCCGTGTGTTGATAAAGTTAATATAGGAAATACCTGCATTTGGTACTGACTTATGTCTCTGTGTGTGTGCATGTGCCTGCTTGAGTTCACGTGCACTGTGCACAGAGTCAGAGGTGTTGGGGCTCCTTAACTGGAGTTATAGGTGTACAGTGTGCACTCAGTATGGGTACTAGAAACCAAGTGTGGGTCCTTTCTGCAGGTAAGGGAAGCTTTTAACCACTGTATGTGCACAGAAAGTGCATGTGGATACCAGCGACTGATGGGTAGGTGTCTTGCTCTATTCCTGTCCACAGTATATCGTGAAGCATTGATATCTTATCAAACACAGAGCTTGCGAACTCTAGTCCAGCTAGCCAGCTTGCTCCCAGCGTCCTCTGACTCTGCCTCCAGAGCAGTGTGATTACTCGTGAGCTGCAAACTCAATCAGCACTGACCTGGGCGCTGTATTCCTTTCACATGTACAGCCAGTGCTTCATCTGCTGACCTTCTTCTCAGCCCTGCTGAGAGGTGGATTTTCATTTTTTAGGCATATATTGTCTTGACTTTTATACACTGCCTTAAACTATATTTTCTTTAATAATGCTGTTCTGACAGAGACTGCTCTTTCGTTCCTGGCCACCCAGACCCAAATTAATCGCACAGAATTAATTACTACACTGTTTGGCCTGTTAGGTCAGGCAGCCTTCCTGTTAACTAACTCTTGCATCTTAAATTAACCAATTTTTATTAATTTATGTGTTGCAATGAGGCTGTGGCCCATCAGTAAGGTTCCAGCATCTGTCTCCTTTGGCAGCTACATAGCATCTCTCTGACTCCACTTTATTTCCCTCCTAGCCTTATTCCGCCCTGCCATAGGCCAGAGCAGCTTCTTATTAACCAGTGGTAATGAAATATATTGACAGCACACAGAGGGGAATCCCACATCACTGTTCGGGGATGAGGTTTGGTTTTGTTTGTAAGGTTCAGTTGTGGTGGTTGTATTATTGTTTGCTTGTGTAGTTGGTTCTAGGGATTAAACAGATTATGTGAGTGACAGTCAAAACCCTCTGAACTGTACCTTCAGTCGCCAGTCCTTACATTCTCATGCCCCCACTGTATAACAAGCTTTTTCTCAAGCCTTCAAAACATAGTAGAAGCCTTTCGTGTCTTTGTGAAATAAAGTATGATGACCAATATGCTAAATGATTTTTGAAGATGTTATCAGATTATCTTTAGTTTATTACCATATAGTATAATATAAAGCCTGTAGCCTTCTCATGAATATGTTTTAGTAGAGCTTAGGGTAAGTGATTTTCTAGACCTGTGCAGTCTAATGCCATAGAGGCTGGTCATGTATGACTATTAAAATAAAAATACAGAAATAAATAATAAAAGTAGTTCTCTGTAGCCTGGTGGAGTGGTGTGCAGCTTAAATCCCAGCATTTAGGAGGGAGAGACAGGTGGATATTAGAGAGTGAGGTCAGCATGAACTACACACACTCTAGGGACAGCCAGGACCAGACAGAGAAACCACACAAAGTAAAGAAATCATCCTTGCTTGAGAGTGGTGGCACATGCTGTGGTCCCAGCATGCCAGAGAATGCAGCTGGAGCATCACACCCTGCGTCTCACGAGGAGACCCTGCCTCAAGCCAGAAAATAACATGTTATTTCATAGCTGCACTGGTTATACTTAAGTTCTGTCTTTGCCGTTGTGTTTGCTAGGCCTTATTGGACAGGAGCATTCTAGTTCTTCTAGGGGTCGTCATAGAGCAGTAGCATGCCTTAGGAGGCACTGTCAAGAAAGGGAATGTGAGATCACGTTGCCAGCCAAACACAAGGTAGGATGCTGTAATACTACATGCCTGTTGTTATAGATATTAGACATTGACTCATCAGGCTGCTTGTAGATCTCCAGTGTAGGTTATGTACAATTGCTTGTAAGTTCTGTTTGCTCTGTAGTTTAGTTCCCTGTCACCACCTATTGCTGATACACATTTGCTACCACTGCCCTTACCTACCCTGTTAACTCTCCCCTAACAGCATTTGTCTCAAGTTCAAACTGATTTTGATGCCTCCTACCCTCTGTAGTCTCCTCTTAGGGAAGTCACATTTTGCTGTCAGCCAGGGAAAAAAATTAACTCATTTGTATTTATTTTGTAAACTTATATATAATGTTCTAGATGATTTCCATTCAAGAGTACATTAACCCAGTTAGTAAGAGAATGACTATGCAGAAAATCCATTTATTGATTTATATTGAAGAGTAACTTAGCTCTATAAATAGGTACTGACTAATTTCAATGGACTGTCAAATTAATCATGTCCGAGTGTTTTGTTGTTTATTTGGTTGGTTGGGTTTTTGAGTAAGCAGTTAGGTGGATAGTGGTTCATGTCCCTGTGTGGCTTTCCCATGCATCTCAGAGTCAGGAACAAGATCATTGAGGTGGCGTATGGGTCTATCTTGAGCTTAGGCACAGAACTTTTCTGTTTCTTTTGCTGAACATTGCTCCATCATAATTGAGCTTTAGGTCCTCGATAGCAGAGAGCTCTGGTTGCCCCCTGGGTGTCCAGAGGCTTCATCACACTTTGTCATCATCATCTGGAAGATTCTCTTAGATCTGAAAAATTGAGTTAAAAGTAAGAATTTCCTTTCTGTTACTGCTTCAGCTTGTGCATCTTAATGGAATTTTTTTGTACTTTCTTGTTAAAGAAATATAATGAATGTTTAAACTTTTATAGACTGGTGTGTTGATTTCTGTTTATGAGCAGAATTTTTTCAAGAAAACCAGTTGGTATCTATGGTAGCCTTATTGTTTCCAATCATACCACCCCGAAAGTCATTCTTTTTTTTTTTTTTTAGGATAAATCTTTTAAAATGAATTGGTACAAACTTAGTAATTCACAGTTGTTATCATAATATTGTAAAATATAAATATTGGCTGGTAAATTTGCTATCTTTTCTTTCTTTAGGTCCCATTAGCACCTTATACATACACACCCCTGAATCTACTTAAGGATGGTGCAGTTGTCAATGTCTGTGGTGTTGTGAAGTTCTTTAAGCCTCCCTACTTAAGTAAAGGAACTGGTAGGTGTCAGAATGAGCATGTTTTATGGACAAGAGCTGCATTGTTGGTCTCAGGGCCACAATGCCTTCAGTGTCCTGGGTCTGAGAACAGTGTCAGTGTCATGAAACCGATGTCTGTTTTTGGTCATTTTAATTTATGAAGTGAATGTGGTCACAATACTAATGCATATTTTAGAAGAGTGGGAAGTGACATGAAAACATTCAGAAGTATAACATTTGTTGGTGAAGGTAAGTATGTTACCACGTACTGAACATTGCAGTACTGTAGTGACCGCACGTCAGTCACTCTCAAGTCTGCAGAGAAATGAAAACTGAACAGAAAAAGACATTACTATAGCATCTGTATAGGCTACGTTGTGATGATGAAGTGTGCTGGGGGGCAGTGAGAGTATTTATGTAATTGAAGTTAAATGTCTGCAACTTTAGAACAATAATCAAAGAATGTCATTACAGAAGCTCAATGTAGACAGTGTAGAAGAAATTACCATAAATTCACCTGCATATGAGTCTCTCAAAGCATAATTAATACAGTCAGGAAAAAAGACAATTTGTCAGGGTGGCCAGTGTTTTGTTGCTGTATTTAACATGGTGGTTGGGGGAAGGCTGGGGCATAAAAACAATGGCAACTAACTGAGAAAGAAGAAATTAAATTGTGTTTGAGAGTATGTAAAATTGTAAATAGAAACCCTAAGTACTGTGCCATACAGAGCCTTTGAGAACTAATAAATGTTTCAAGATTCAAACTTAGCGTTATATAAATTGCATTTCTGCAGACCAGTGATGAACAGTTTCAGAGGGTAACAGAGCACTACAATTTAGAATAGCATCCATACTGTAGTGTACATTGGAATGACCTCATTCAGGGAAATCAAGGCTCATGCTCTGAACACTCAGAATATTGCTGGAATTGATTAGAGATGATACAAACAAATGAAATAATGTCCTATGCCAATAGCCTTTACATTTACAGTCTTCAAAGCAATGTGAAGATATATCACAACCGCGCTTAAAAATTTCAGGGGATTTTTTTTTAATAGGAAAAGAAAAAAATCAGTCCTCAAATACATAGGAATAAGCTTGCGTGGGCTGAAGGAGAAGGGATCGCATATTCTTATTTTATTAGTATACAAGAATAATGATTTTCTCTGTGGATGATGATGTAAAGACTGTTGAATTGGGGGATGATGATGAAATAGATCACACCAGAGGCTGCACCTGTCAATCTTAAACAACATGGCTGCCCAAATGTGAGGTGAACTGGAGATACAACAAAATAGACAGGAAAAACCCAGGAGGCCTTAACCCCACTATATTTAGAACCACGGCAACTGGGGAGATGTGAGCGCAAAGAAATAGACTTCCCCAGGGAAACTCTTACTAAATGCCAGTATACCTGAGGTGGTTTTGTTTGGTGGTTTGTTTTTTGTTTGTTTTAATTTTATGTCTGGGCATCAAACATGAGTCCTCAGTGTTACTCAGCAACCCCCTCCATGACCGAGATATCTTCCTTGCTCCCTTGCTCTCCTTTTGGATTCTTCCTGATGTCATTCTGTCTTCAAGGTGACTCTATATGGTTGTGTGATGTGATGTAGACAGGAAAGCCGCACTCATGGTCTTTGCACCTACGCACATGTGTGTGTGCGCATGTGCATGTGGGTAACCAAGGCTTCTCTTAGCCTCAGTGAAGATTCTATGTAAAAGTAGCAGGTTATCAAAGTACACCATTGTTTCTGGCAAACCAGCCGCATGTCTGACTACAAAATCCTTGTTTTCACCATTACAAGAAATGGGCTAAAATTGAAAAGATGTGGCTTCACTTGCAGTTCCAGCACCAGCTTTGGAAGTGTGTCAAAACCCAGCTGGAGAGTTAGGCGCAGGGTGGGCTTTGAGAAACTGCAACTGCTTCAGAAAGTACTTTGGGGATTGTGGTAGTTTGAATGTATTTGACCCCATAATCTCAGGGGAGTGGCACTATTAGGAGGTGTGGCTTTGTTGGAGGAAGTGTGTCACTGTTGGGGTGGGCTTTGAGGTTTCATATACTCAGGATGTGGCCCAGTGAGTCAGTAGACTTCCTGTTGTCTCTGAGTCAGGATGCAGGACTCTTCAGCTTCAGCACCACTTCTGCCTGCACGCCGCCATGCCCCAAATTAACTGAACTCTGAAACTGTAAGCAAGCCCTCTGAATTAAATGTTTTCTTTACAAAGTTACCGTGGTCATGGTGTCTCTTCCCAGGAATAAAAACCTAACTAGGATAGGGATGGTGATGGTGATGGGAAGAACACTTGCCAGCTGTGTTCAGTGTTTGTGGTACTTGCTTCTGATGCATAGTCTTCGTGCACTCACTAGTGGAAGAAGAGAAAGGCAAACAACCCCTCGATCTACAGCGACGCTGTTTGCATGATGTGCTGGAGCAAAAGCTGTGGGAGTAACCAGCTACTGTCCATTAGATTTAAGGCCTCCTCCATGAGATGGAGCCCATGCCTGACAGTGCTCAGCAAGCCAAGAACTCGAGACTAGATAGGCCATGGACCTAGGAGAAAACTACTACCGGTCTGCTAATAGAATGTTTGTTTTGCTCTATTCTGCTTTTGGTTTTGTTGCCTGTTTGTTTTCTAATGAGATAGAGAAAGAAAGGGGATGGATTTGGATGTGGAGGATCTGAGAGGAGTTGGAGAAAGGAAAACTGATCAGAATATATTATACAAAATACTTTCAATTTAAGAATTAAAGAATTAATGTTTATAAAAGTAAAGTACAAAAAGAAAAGTGATAAATGGTGCTTGTTTTTCAAGTTTTTAATTTTTTTCTATGTTTTTCTTTTTCTATTGCTTTATAAACAATACCATTCAAAATTTCCACCTCCTCCCCTCTTCCCATTTGCCTCCTGCTTCTCCACTCACCCTTCTCCCTCCCCCTCCAGTCCTAAGAGAAGTCAGGGTTCCCTGCCCTGTGGGAAGTCCAAGGCCCTCCCCCTCCATCCGGGCCTAGGAAGGTGTGCATCCAATCAGACTAGAATCCCAAAAAGCCAGTACATACAGTAGAATCAAATTCCAGTGCCATTATCATTGGCTTCTCAGTCAGCCCCCAATTGTCAGCCACATTCAGTGAGTCCAGTTTGATCATGTGCTCCATCAGTCCCAGTCCAGCTGGCCTTGGTGAGCTCCCATTAGATCAGGCACACTGTCTCAGTGGGTGGACCAACCCCTCGTGGTCCTGACTTCCTTGCTCATATTCTCCCTCCTTCTGCTCCTCATTTGGACCTTGGGAGCTCAGTCCAGTGCTCCAATGTGGGTCTCTGTCTCTATCTCCATCCATTGTTAGACGAAGGTTCTATGGTGATATTCAAGATATTCATCAGTGTGACTATAGGACAAAGCCAGTTCAGGCTCCCTCTCCTCTACTGCCCAAGGACCTAGGTGGGGACATCACCATGGACTCCTGGGAACACCTCTAGAGCCAAGTCTTTTGCCAACCCTAAAATGGCCCCCTTAATTAAGATATCTTCTTCCTTGCTCCCATATCCACCCTTCTTCCCCCAAGCTCTCCCCAATCCTCCCCTTCTCCCTTATCTCTCCCCATTCCCCTTCCCCCACCCCCATGCTCCCAACTTTTGCCCGGCGATCTTGTCTGCTTCCAATTTCCAGGAGGATCTATATATGATTTTCTTTGGGTTCACCTTCTTATTTAGCTTCTCTCAGATCACGAATTATAGGCTCAATGTCCTTTATTTATGGCTAGAATTCACTTATGAGTGAGTACATCCCATGTTCCTCTTTTTGGGTCTGGGTTACCTCACTCAGGATAGTGTTTTCGATTTCCATCTATTTGCATGCAAAATTCAAAATGTCATTTTTTTTTCCGCTGAGTAGTACTCTAATGTGTAGATGTGCCACACTTTCTTTATCCATTCTTCATTGAGGGGCATCTAGGTTGCTTCCAGGTTCTGACTATTACAAATAATGCTGCTATGAACATAGTTGAACAAATGCTTTTGTAGTATGATAGGGCATCTCTTGGGTATATTCCCAAGAGTGGTATTGCTGGATCCTGAGGTAGGTTGACTCCTAATTTTCTGAAAAACTGCCACACTGATTTCCAAAGTGGTTGCACAAGTTTGTATTCCCACCAGCAATGGATGAGTGTTCCCCTTACTCCACATCCTCTCCAGCATAGGTTATCATTGCTGTTTTTGATTTTAGCCATCCTGACAGGTGTAAGATGGTTGTTTTGATTTGCATTTCCCTGATAGNGCCATTCTGACAGGTGTAAGATGGTATCTTAAAGTTGTTTAAAGATACATTCTTGTGGCCATTTGAAATTCTTCTGTTGAGAATTCCATGTTCAGTTCAGTACCCCATTTTTAAATTGGGTTTTTTAGAATTTTAATGTCTAGTTTCTTGAGTTCTTTATATATTTTTAAAAAATAAAATAAACTATCTCTTTTCATTATACATACCAATCCAAGTTCCCACTCCCTCCCCTCCTCCAATTCCCTCCACCTACCCTCCTCCCCGCCTCCACCCACTCTCCAGAGAGAGTAAGGCACATTGCTTTGGGGAAGATCTGAGGCCCTCCCTACTATATCTAGACTAAGTGAGGTATCCATCTAAAAGAATAGATTCCCATAAAGCCATTACATGTAGTAGGGATAAATCCTGGTGCCACTGCCAGTGGCCCCTCAGTCTGCCCCAGCCATGCCACTGCCAACCACATTCAGAGGGACTAGTTTGGTCCTATGTGTGTTCCTTACCAGTTCAGTTGGTGTTGGCGTTCTTATGTTTATTTTGCCACTGAAAATTCATGTTGCCAGATATATACAATAGAAGAGATACATACATATATATATATATGAAATAACCCCCTGTATTGGTTGGTGTTTGTCATCTTGCCACAAAGCTAGATGTATCTTGAAAGAGAACAATCTTAATTGCAAAAATGCCTCCATCAGATTGGCTGTTGCCAAATCTGTGGGGGTATTTTCTTGATTGAAGATTGATATGGGGAACTCAGTCCAACGTGGGTAGTGCCAGGTGGCCCTGGGCTGTCTAAGAAAGGATGCTGAAAAAGTCATGGGAGCAAGCCAGTAAACATTTACCCATGGCCTTGGCTTCAGTCCCACCTTGGTTCCTGCCCTGACTTCCTTCAGAGATGAAGTGTAAACTGAAATACAGTCTTTCCTCCCAAGTTGCTTTTGGCCATGGTATTTTCATCACAGTAATAGAAGCACCAACTAAGACCTTTCCTACCCTGATTTCTTTAAATTTTCATTGTTCTTCAGTAGGAGGACAAATGTTCCAATCTATTTATTCATTGCCAAATAAACTCCAGAATCTACTACAATTACCAAGCAGTGGACAAAAAAACAAACAAAACAAAAAAGGCAAGGAGAATCAAATGGCTATGAGTTTCACTGATTGTGTTGATACTGTTCCCCACAATCAGTTATTTCTTATGAAACTGCTGGACAGTCTTCTGACTTCCTATTCCAGCAGATGGATTTTTGCCCTGGCCTTCTTTGTAGGTGGCTGGGGCTCATTTGTACCTAGGATACATTTCTCACTGTATCCTAGGTGCAGTTTCCTTCTCAGGCTTGGTTTGTAACTTTTGAAGAACCTGGGGAAACACTGCATTTGCTTCCTGCTCTGGCCCATTTCCTGCCTCTGGTTTCTGCATCCGATGTCTTAAGGGTCAACGGGTGAGTCTTAAGTGTGACAATGTAAGGTACACAACCTCCAGATGTCAGTATCTTCAGAAGGGGAATATTTTACATCAGACTTTTTTTTTCTCCTAAGGAAAATGTTATTCCTTTAGAACACCATTGCTTCCTTTTTCCCTGTTGACTCTTACATATTTTGTGATTTAAAAATATCTACACTAATTTATTTCTTTGGATCTTTGGTGGCAATGATTTTCTTTTCTCCCTTTTTGATTTTAACGTTATGAAAAAGTTATTTGTTCTCTAGAAAAATAGCATATTTATTTTTGTTTCATTACAAGTCTGAAGGTTAATTTTTGTGGATTAATTTGGGAATGGTATCACATTATCTTAAAAGGCAATAATAGGGTAGAGTAGTATTTGTTTGACATTCTTAAATTAGCATATTCTTATTGTATAAATGCTTTGAAATTTCTTAATCTGTGTTAAATATTTTTTGTTTCCCAGATTATTGTTCCGTTGTAACAATTGTGGACCAGACAGGTGTGAAGTTAACATGCCTGCTCTTTAGTAGGAAGTATGAGGATCTTCCAGTCATTTATAAAGTTGGAGACATTGTTTGTTTCCGTGGGCTGAAGGTATGATTCGTACTTTCTACATTTACTAGACGTCTACATCGTTCACCAAAAGTATCTAGTATTAACTGTATGACCACCTTCTTAGAGGGCGACACTTAGCATTCCAAGAGACAAGAAATGCAAATGGTATCAGCTATCGATCATGTGAATGAATTTGCCTGCTCTCTTTCCCGAAGCACACACTTGAAGCTGTCTTTCTAACTCGTTTCAGTTTGTCCTCTCACTTCCAAGTATAGTTGGTGTTACCAAGTTTCCGTGTGGAATTTGTCAAGGATAGGGGCATACATCCTCATAACTTTTTAATTAATTTAATTTTATTTAAGTTGGGGTCTTACTGTTGCCCTGTCTAACTTTAAACTCCTCAAGTGTGAGCAGTGTAGTTCTGGTAAACTGAGAAGGGGAAGATTAAAATTCAGTTCGGCTAAAAGAACTTGACTCTTCTGGACAAAGCGCTGAGAGAAAAGACTGTACAGACTGCACCAGGAGTCTGCTTTGTGCCCATGCGTACTTGACTGAAAGCTGTGCTATACGGGCAGGACAAGGTCACTTGAGGATTGCAAGAACCGGAAACAGGAAAGGGATGCAGTAGGATGCTACAGAGCCATCCTAGTGAGTCTGCACCTCTTTGACACCATATTATTTTTCCTCATTACTATGACAAAATATTATCAGATGCAACTTATAAAAGTTCAGTGTGGCTCAGTTTCGTAGTAGAGATGTTGACATTTTTCCTCACAATGCTGCCAGGGCAGGAAGCAGAGAAAGCAAGAGTAGAAATTGGAGTGGTATGGACCCTCCTTCCGACAGCCTAGGCCCAGTGCTGCATAGTAGCCACAGACAGGGCTGCTACCACAGGAGCATGAGGCAAGTTTGCACACACAGTAACAGGTACCTTGTCCACTATGGTAAGACATCACAAAGTCTGCCTTATCTCGCCAAGATTATAGGAAGGCTTCTCGTGCACATCTGTTAAAAACCTATATGATTCCACAAGGAACACTCTTTGCAAGGTGAGTCCCACTAAGGAGGAAGGGCTTTGGGGAAACCCTGAGCTTGCTACAAATTCACCCTAAGAAGGCATAAATTCAAGCTTTTGTCCATTTCAGGAGCTCAGCTAGCAACTTGCCAAAATGACAAAACTGCCCCTCCAGAGGAGGTAACATAGTTCAGAACCTTTGTAGTGTTTCACTACAGGGTCTAGTCAAGAAGAGAAGCTCTGGGTACAAGTAGAGGAACTTAGAAGAAGACAGTTTTTAAAAAGCAATTAGACTTTCCAAATTAATTCCACAGGGGCACAGACATTAAGTCTGTTAAACAGTAATTTATCAGCAGATACTGTAATTTTCCCAAAAGATTAAGCAGAGCACCCCACTTTCAGCAAATTAAAAAATATTAAATGAGTAAAAAGAAATCAGTAACAGAAACAGACAAATAGAATCTGAAAAAGAAGCAAATAGAAATTCAATACCTAAAAGGAACAGCAAATGAAAAGTCTACTGGAGGGGTTGGTATGGAATAAAATTTAAAGATAGAGCCTAAGTCATTACCAGGTGTGAAGTACCAGAACTAGATAAAAATAAATGGAGCACAGTGGGCTTGGTGACAGTATCTGATAATGCAATTAGCATGTAGTCATTATGATACAGGAGAAAAGAGTGAACGGGATGTGGGGTACATACACATACACACATCCAATCTTAGAAAGTCAGCAATGCTTGGAGAAACCATGTTCCATATGGGAGAACAGCTGCAATGATTTTTGATAAAATTTCATTTACCTATAATTTTATTTCCAAATAAAATATTCTTCAGTAAAGTGGAACCTTTCCAAATAGAATCTTGTTAAAAAGTGGCAAAACTATTTGAGAGTGAATAAATATGAAGCTTTAAATCAGTAGAAAATACTGAATCAGCACCCACTGAGACACAAGGATTATTTATACCCCAGGAGTTAAGCGGTACCCTAAGAATAGCAAAGGAACAATAGGACACAGTTGCTGAACAGCACAGACTGGGGGCCAAAAGGGAATCGGCCCTGTGCAGCACTCCTGGGCCTGTAAGAATGTTTTTAGAGTGAATATGTCCTGACTAACAGCAAAGTATAAATAAGTAAATATCAAGTATCATGTGCTACCTACAAACTGCACTTAATATGAAGACATAAATTGGAACTAAAACTATAAGAAATAATTATCAAGCAACAAAAAAATGAAATGACTACATCTTACTATCAGACATGAAGAACCACCAGAAATCTGTGAAGAGAAAGGGGAGCATTCTAAATGAACAAAGTCAGTTCGTGAAGAAAATACTAAAACCACTTATTTGATAAATGGGCCTCAAGACTCAGGTAGCTAAAGTCCTTCCGGCACGGCCCAGCTCGCTCATGGCGAGGGTGACTTAGCCTCTGTTGCATGTGCTTGGTTCACACATGGGGGGCTCTGGATTGCACTATACCACAGAAATAACTGGCAAGTTATATTTGCCTCTAGAAAACTTATACTTCAATAAATTAAACACACAAATGTAAGAGTGAAAGTTTAGAGAATCGGGATAACTATTAGTTAGCTGCTGGTCTAAAAAGTATCAGTTGTACTGTTTTAAAGTTGCATGCTTATATACCCTGATACAGTGTGTGTTGATTGTATTGTTTCATGAATTAACTCAGTAAGAAATAGTAAAGGGTCACTCTGCTTCTCATACTAGAAAAACTTAACATCTCAAGTTCTTTGGTTCCTGGGTTTCATATCAGCTGTTTTGTTTGTTTTCTGCTTTGCCCCACGTTATTAGATCCGAGTATATAAAAACGAACTTCAGGCAATCAGCAACTATGGTTTTGCATCTTTGACATTTGATGGTACTGTAATGTCTCCTGTGACACTGCGCACTTCAGGCAAAAACTTTAACATCACTGCTCTGGACCACAATATGGTAGAAGCCTTGCGGGCTTGGGCATCCACACATGTGCCACCTTCCTCCACCCTACTGCCGCTCTCTGACGTCCACCCTATGCAGTACTGTGACCTGACCTGTCAGCTCCTGGGCAAAGCGGAAGTGGACGGGACATCTTTTCTTCTGAAGGTACGTTTTAAATCCTTGAGGCTGTGCGTTAGCACTGCCTGCCAGTAAGGAGCCTGCGGCCCTCCCATGACTGATCTCCAAGCTATTTTATACTGAGTTAAAATTCTTGATGTCGTGTTCTTGCATTTCTCTGTGCCTTCCCTCCGGAGAGAACACCATTGTCAGATGTGTACTTTACAAATGGTATGACATCTGCATTTATTTCTTATTTTAATAATAAAACCCACGAGTTCTTTTAGTGACACTCCAGGGTGTGTTTCTGCTGCTTTGTGAAAGTCAGCTATGTTGTCCCCCATCCACTATCAGGGTCTGTTCTCATTCAGTTCTGGCCCTGTCATAACTGCTTGACTCACGGGAGAGGCACAGGTAATACTGAGATGTTTCTTATAATTCTTGTTTTTAAAGCAGCCAAAAAAAAAAAAATAGTAACATAAGTAATGCCCATGAATGACCTGCAGAAGGTCATTACTTAATCAAATTCTTTGCTGGACCATACTTTTCAGGATTTTTTGAGCAGTACTGCTATATGACCAAGGTCCTGTGCTTAATTCTCTGTCACTTGTAATAATCAGACCATCAGTGAAATGTCCTGGTGCTTGGACAAGATTGAGGGCTTCCCCATGCTGCTGGCACGTGTGAAAGTCCAGCTTCACGTAAACAGTGCTGTGAGAAAGTAAATACTTGAAGTGAGCGAGTGAAGGGAGGCAACCCTGAACTGATGTCCCCTGACCAGCCACTAAACATTCCCGAGAACAGAGATGCTGACTCTGTGCCGGATTCCTTCAGACGATTATGCTGAGAAAAGCAGTTGAATTCTGAGCTAAAGCCTTGTGAGCTCAGTGGATAGCGGCAAAAGTGCATTTTCTCTCTCAAGCACCGTGTGAGTAGATATAATATTGTTTTTCACATAAGTCATCCAGCTCTTGAGTAACTTATTTGTACCTTGGAGAAAGAGTTTTTCTTTAAAAAATTTACTCTTTGAGAATCCCGTGCTTGTATGCAATGAAACGTGACCATAGTCCACTCCCTCATCTCCTCTAACTGTCCCTCATCTCCTCTAACTGTCCCTCATCCCTACTTCCTCTTGCAGCAGCCAGCAGCTGCCAGTCACTTCTCGGTTAGGGGTGATGCCTGGGCGGGTCCTCTGCCTTGAGGCTGCAGTGTTGATGAGTATGAACAAGATCAAGGAATTATTTGAAAATCAGCATTGAGAAGTGAATGTTAAAAAAGTTAAGTTTTCTTAAGGATAGTTTGTATCTAACAATTTTAATTTTATAAACTTCCTGTATAGAAATTATTTTAAATGTTTGGAAAAAGTGCACTTGAAACAAAACCTGTTGTGTGGACTACTTCTGTGTGCTAGAATGTTCTTTAACTATATGTGAAGTTACAGACATGGCCTTGTTGAAATAAACTTTAGTAATAGTCTGCTTATTGATATGCATATTCATAGACTGAAAATGTTCATACAATAACAAAAATTTCTTTGGAGGTAAATATGGTAACAATATTCTCTTAAAGACTTTTGCAGAATGGAATTTTGATTTTTTTTTTCTGATAATTTTTTTCTTTGAGATATGGTCTCTCTACAAAGCCCTTGCTGTCCTGGCTCACTATTTAGACCAGACTGGCTTTGAACTCACAGAGATCTCCCTACATCTGGTATTAAAGGTCTGCACTACTACTAATGGCCTCAGACATAATTTTTTAATTAAATATTAAAAACAGAAGCAAGCAGACATTATTCTCTCTGAATTATACCTGGTTAGTATGCAAAGTAATATAATTATTTCCTTCTTCAACCTTAGCACAGTACTAACTGTGGCCCCTTTTTAGTAATCATGGTGCATGCATTTCAGGTTTTCTCAGCAGCCATGTGTTCGCGTATCATTTCTGTTGCTGTGATAAGACCACAAGCAACCTAGGGAAGGGTTAATCTGGATTATACTTCTAGGTCACAATCCAGAGGATATCAGGGCAGGTACTCAATCAGGAACTTGAAGCTTGAAATTCCACACCAAAAATCCTCTAACTTTAAACGTAAAACTCAGTAAGTATGGCAGAAAGCATGGAGGATGCTACCACTTGTTCACTGGCTTATAGACCAGCTTGTGCTGAGCAGTTTTGTTTCTTGGTTCAGGACCACCTGCCTAAGGATGATGTAGCCCACAGTGGACTGGGCCCTCCTGTATCCATGAATAATCAAAGCAGTCTTCCTCACACAAGCCAGTCTGATCTTGGCAGTTAAGTGAGGCTCTCTTCTCAGACGAATCTGGGCTACGCCAAGTTGACAGTTAACCAGATCACCATGTTTTACCAGTGGCTTACGAATGTATTTTTTTTATTACATGTATATGTGTGGGAATATGCACATTTATACAGATGCCTGGAGAGGCCGTAGGAGTGTGTCTGACGGCCTAAGGTTGAGGTTACAGGCAGTTGTCAGCTGTTTGACGTGGGTGGTGGAAATCAAACTCATGACTTCTGCAAGAGCAGCATGCATTGTCAGCTCTCCGGCCTCAGTGATCTTTAAAAATCATTGTACTTTCGGTCTGTTCTTCTATTTGTGCAGTGTATGTACAGAGCAAATGCTTTTCAGTTGTAATTTGCTCAAGCATATTCTGTTCTGTTTAGTTTTGTTTTGTTATTCAGCTTGAAACTGTTATAGTTTCAGGATTTAACACCTCCAATCCATCGCAGACCTTTATCCTTGGTAGCAATGCAGAAGTCGTACATCCCCAAGGGGTGGGGTATGAGCACAGTGTCTTTGAGCCCAGAATAGAAAAAAAAAGTCAGTCTACGTCTGCACCGTAGTTTCATGTGGCATCGTGTGGTGATTTTCACAGCTTCTACATTTGTTGTATGACACACAGTACCTGTTTAGTTGCTCCATGGTCACAGAATAAGGGACTTCACACTTTAAAGCATCACAGATACCAGCGTATGTCTGTTTTTAAATTTGACTCTGTTTTTGCAAAAATATTCCTAAGATTTGCTTTACCACCCTATGACAGGTATGGGATGGCACCAGGACGAAGTTTCCCTCTTGGAGAGTCTGCATCCAAGACCTTGTGCTGGAAGGTGACTTAAGTCACATTCTGCGGCTACGGAATCTGGTGATAGACGTTGTAGTTTATGATAATCATGTCCAAATGGCAAAATCCCTGCAGGTGATGTTGACTAGAAAGATGTATGCTATTTTGTTTCTGTGTTCTTTTTAGTTGTAGTTTTTGTTGATATAATTTTATTTGTAGATTTATTTGTTATTTAGAGTCTAGAAATTCATTTCAGATTTACTTGTTTCAGCGTTTACATTTAGAAAACATATGTGTGTCTAAGTTAAAGAAAGCTCTGAACCCATCTTATGCAGCCATAATTTTTTATTATAATTTTTGAGAATATAATTATATCACATTATTTATCCCTTTCTTCCTCCAAACCCTGCCATGTATCTCTTCCCCTTACTTCCTTCCAATTCTTGGCCTCTTTTTCTTTGTTGTTAATGTGCATATTATTGTGTTGATTTATAAATATATAAATACTATATGTTTGATCTTTATAGTGTTACTTGCATGTATGTTTTAGTGTGACATTTGGTATTGGATAACGAATTGATGAGCTCATCGCTGGAGACTCTTTCTCCACTCTCAGCACCGCTGGGTTGCCTGCAGTTCTTTGTTTAGGAATGCAGTGTCACGGCCTTTCTCCCTTCCACATTAGCTGTCTGTTCATATCGTCCTTGTTCAGGTCATGGTTCGGCAGCCTCAGAGATGAGACTTCATGGGTTAGGTTCTCTTACATTTCTAGAGACATATTGTCACCATAAACTTCCAGTTCCTCTGGCTCTTATAATATTATCCCATGTCATCTGAAATGATCCCTGAACTTTAGGTGCAAGACTTGTGCTGTCGGTGTGTACTTATCAGGACTAGGCTCTACAATTCCACATTTTGGTTGTGGCTTTCTGGTAATGATCTTTGTCCATTATAAAGAGTTCCCTTGATGAGTGGTGATGACCACACTTGCGGGTATAAGGTCGTGTATTTAGAGTGTAGTTAGGAATTATGCTGGTTTGCTAGAGTAGCAGTTGTGGGTTCTCCTCCAGTCCATGACCTCACTAACCCTAGGTGGCTGGTGAGGTAGGTTCTAGTCAGATTGCAGAGCTGTTGGTTCCCACTAAGGTACGCAGGCTGCTGCTGCATCCTTGGGGTTATTGTGCCATGCTGGTCGTTGTTGAGGTTCACGGGCATTGTAGCAGGGTAGGACTCTCGGATGCTTCTTTCTTTGGAGCCTCACATGACATCTTCTAGTACATGAAAGCTTGTCTTCAAGGAGGGGGCCCTCAGGTCAGTTTCAGCTCAGGTTCTCTGTGAAATTTGTTTGGTATTAAACTATTTTTCTAGTATTTTTTACAGATGTACAAAATGACATTTTAAACTTTCGTCTATAAGCTAAAATCATACTTACTAATACACACTCATATCTCCATGCAGCCTTCAACAGTGTAAAATATTCATAGTTGTTACTACATCTTGGCCAATTATGAACCAATAATTGTAGATAGACTACAGGAAAAAATAAAGATATTGTAGTTTTTTGGCGAGAAAACTCTTGTTTTTAATAGTTCTATATTGGTTAGACTTTTGCATTTTGTGTTTTTACTGTCGTTCCTCTGCTTGTAGAACCCTACTGCATTATTGCTGAGACCACACAAGTGATCAGGCACATCGCACAGTAACGTCTACTCAAACTTTAACAAGATATAGCATTGTCTCCGGAAGGCATTTCTGATAAGAGCAACTTGTCTTTACTCTGTGATGTGTTCTCTCTGGCCTGTAAATCCGGATAGTGCAGTGTGGTGCAGGATAATAAACCCCCGGCATTCACTATGAAACTTCCTCTTGAAGAGTTACCACAGGTTCCTCTGAAGCAAAGCTGCCTGTGGGACCTTCTGGCGTCCCCACTGTCTCTGCCTCTTGCTTTCCAGAGTGCTCTTGACCTTTGTCTTTCATTCTCATTTTTAGAAAAAAAAAAAAAAAGACATTTTCAGATGTCATGAAAGACACTGAAATTTCTGCCTCTAATTTTCTTACATTTAAAAGTTAATGGTAAGGAAACCATGGTTTTGGCAGTTAAATTCGTGTTTATTAATGTAATTTTTCTCTCCAAATTTCAGTCTTCTTTCTAATCCTTCAAAGGTTACAAAAATCTGCTCTACTAATAAAAAAGTAAGAAGCATTTCAAAAATCATTGAGAAGTCGAAATTGCTTCATTTACTATCCTAGTATCTCACTTTGGATACTTCTTAGAAAATGCATATTTCCCTTGTGGTTTTCTGTTTTGTTTTTCTGAGGAGCCGGTAATCCCTCCTCTTGCCTCCCTGTCCTCAGAAGCACACAGGGGCCACAGAAAGTGAAGTGCCCTGGCATGAAGGGGTGGTGGTGGGAGAATGGATCTTCACCCTGACCACTGTGCTCCGTCGGAGAGTGCAGAGTGGAAGCTGGCTTGGGCTCCGTGTCTCTCCCTTCTACCCTCTCCCCTCCCCCTCCATTTGATGCCTCTTCCCACTGTATTATGTCACCACAATGAAGCAGGATTTGTAGGGACAAAGAGAAAGGTGTGTAGTGGCATTTCATTTGTATTTTAATAAATAAAGCTTGCCTGAGTTGAGAGCGTAAAGCAACCCCACTGGTCAGCCTTACACACCAGGCAGTGGTGATGCACACCTTTAATCCCAGTAGCTCCTTTAGGTGCCATAGAAACCAGGTGGTGCATACCTTTTATCGCAGGGTTCACGCCTTTAATCTCAGAACTAGACAGGATTACAAAATGAGAGGAGACAGCTCTGTCTCATTCTGAGATTCCTGGAGGCAGGATTGCCATTTTTGGACTGCGGTCGTGGTCAGAGCCAATGGCTCACTGCTTTGCTTTTCAGATCTTCAGTTTGAACCCCAGTTTCTCTCTGAGTTTGTATTAATTGTGCTTCAAGGGCGCCTTCTCACCTGCTGTAGTCAGGAACGCTATTTTTATGCAAGTGAATGAAGTGTCCTTTTCTGCAGCCCTTTGTTCATGTCTACATAAACGGCAGTGCAGTTCACGTTGTGTGTCTTGTCCCATTAGGTGGAGTGGCAGTCTCTGTTCAAATGGGGTTGTCCAGGCTAGGTTTGAACCCATGACATAAACAATACACAGTATACCCCAATACCTGGTAATAGAGACTTATACCACAACACTACATCTAAATGCCTGTGTGTAGTGAGGAGCGACGGGCTACTTCCCTACCACCCCAGCTCCCGGCCGCCTGGCTAGCTTATGCCCTGAAATAATTACACGGAAACTGTATTCTTTTAAACACTGCCTGGCCCGTTATCTGTAGCCTCTTATTGGCTAATTTTCACATCTTGCTTTAACCCATTTTTTAAAATGTGTGTAGCACCACGAGGGGGCTTACCAGGGAAGATTTTTTTGTTGTTGTTTTTGTTTTTGTGTGTGTGTGTTTTTTTATTTAATTTTTT